GTATCACGGCTGATCTTATATACGGTTTGAGATATTCAAGTGTAAATCCCTTTATTATCCCCTCTTTACCACCCTGTCGCGGCCGCACGCGTGCGTCACGGTTAGCTAGTCGCTGTAGGCGTGGCGTGTGGTGGACACGTGACAGGGTGATCGTTTTAAGCGAATCCTTGACACTTGGCATAAAATAATTTATTTGCATTTAATTGTAATGGTTCAAAGACTGTTCGGAAAAATGTTCGGCCCTCCACCATGTTCACTTCATCCAATCTGGCCCTCTTTGAAAAAAGTTTGGACACCCCTGCTCTATAGGAAGTGGAGGCGACCACATGTCCTCCCGCAAGGGAGTACTGGGACGAGGAGAAGCCGGTCGGCGACTACAGGTGGAGGAAGACGCTGGCACCCTACTCTGGCATAGGGGGCTTGTATGTGAACCCCCATCCATACAAACACATACAGGACCTGGAAGGTAAAGGACCCTGCGGGGAGAGTAGTTCACTAAACAAGAAAAGCAGCATTCTAAGTAAAGGGGCTGTGGGGAATCGCAGCCCCCAGAGGGAAGAGCCAGAAGTCGGTCCATAAAAATGACAAGACAACAGGAGGGTGAGTGGAACTGTATGGAAAGGAGCTGAACTGTACTGTGAAATTAGGGGGGGGGGGGGAGAACACCCAGGGGGTCCAGGAGAAAAGGAGGACAAAAATCGTTATAGCACAAGACCTATAGAATTGGGCAGAGAGAAATTTAAAGTGAAAAAGCGGCTGGACAATAAAGGAAGAGGAAACCCCCCCCTCAAGAACTTGGATAAGGGAATTAAGTTTTACAGCAGCATGAAAAATAAAGCGGCCAAAGGAAGTGGGCCCAAGGGTTCCCTAACAGGTACAATTAAAAAATATATACCCTCACAGGGGAATTTGACCCCAGAAAGACAACAAGGAATAAGTGAAAGAAGTGATCTGGAAATCAGTGTGGAAGACAGTCCTAGACTATCCCTGGGAATGGCTAATAGTGGTCAACAAGTGAAAGAGTGGAGGTGGGAGAACAAGAAAGTGACCTACAGATACCAAATAAAAAAGAAATAGCAGAAATGTTTAAAGGTCTTGAAAAATCAATAAAACAAGAGATGGCGATAATACAGAAAGACCTGGGGCAAATGTTAACAAGAGTGGAAGAGACGGAGGGAAGAGTGAATAAAAATGCCCAAAATATTCTGAAATTAGAAAAATGGACAATAGAAATGAGAAAAGAACAAAGAAAGCTGCTATATAAAATAGAGAGAAATTTTTTAGAGAAATACAAAAAAGATTTATCGAGGTAGTGTTTATACAGGAAACTCACTTAATACAGGAACCCAATGTGAAGTTGTATTCTAGGCACTACCCAATATGGTACTATGCAGACTCCCCAACTAAACGTGCAAAATGAGTAGCAATTGAGTTTGCAAAGAATATAAGGTTTAGTTTGGAAGACAAATTGGAGGATCCAGAGGGGAGATTTTTATTTTTAAAGGGGAAATTGCAAGAGGTAGACTGTACATTGGCAAATATATATTGCCCTAATAAAAAACCTGAGGTCTATCTAAAGAACATATTGAAGAAGCTATTAGATTTTAAAAAAGGTAAACTAATTGTGGCAGGAGATTTTAACTGTTGCATGGAACCACAGATGGATACGACATCACATGTGCTGAGAGAGGGCAATAAATACTTGAAAGTATTAGGGAAAACAATACAACAATGTCAGTTGGTGGATAGTTGGAGAATTTAAAATCTGAAAGAGACTATACATATTATTCTCATGCACATGAGACGTACTCAAGATTGGATTACATATTGCTAGATCACAGACTCATTGGGGTTTATTTACTACAGCTGGAGAGTCCAAAATCAGACTCCCTTCTGCATAGAAACCAATCAGCTTCCAGGTTTCATTGCCAAAGCTTCATTGAACAAGCTGAGGTTAGAAGCTGATTGGTTTCTAGGCAGAAGGGAGTCTGATTTTGGACTCTCCAGCTTTAGTAAATAAACCCCATTGAGTCTTTGGTGAAAGCAAAAATAGAAGTTATAACATTATCGGATCATGTCCCTGTCACAATGAGATTGATATGGGGAAAAGAATATAAAAAGAGTAACACGTGGAGATTAAATGAGACACTTCTTCAGGATCAGGAGACGGAACAGACAATTAAAAGAGAAATAGAACAATATTTTGAAAGAAATGAGATTGAAGAGGTGTCTGTAGCGATGGTGTGGGAAGCCCATAAGGCCTATATTAGAGGAATCTTAATAGCGATTGGGGCGAAAAAGAAAAAGGAAAGGAAAGAGAGAACATGCTTATTAGAGAATTATTTGAATTAGAACAGGTACATAAAAAGAAAATAACAAAACAGACTAAGCATAGTGTAATGGAAAAACAAGAAGAACTAAACAATTTAATAGAGGAAGAAAAGAGAAGAGTGTTTAATAAGATGATTAGCGAAAGATATCAGTGGGGAGATAGACCAGGAAAATATGAGAGCTCAAAGAAAAAAGAAAGGTAAGAACTATATAGAGAAAGTAAGAGATAATAAAGGAGAACTAAAATACTCTACCAAAAATATTGCAAAAGTGTTTAAAGATTATTATAGTAAGTTATATAATATCAATCCTCAACGGTCCATAAGAGAAGAGGAAGAAAGAACTAAAAAAAAAGACAGACATACTTAAGGGAGGCGGGGTTACCAAAATTGAGAGAAGATCAGTTAATATCCCTTGAGAGATCAATATCAGCAGATGAAATACAATGTGCATTGAAGAGTACTATGACAGGGAAAAGTCCAGGACCGGATGGGTATACTGTGAGATACTATAAGAAATTTAAAGAACAATTGATACCTAAATTGAGTTTATATATGAATGCATTAGGAGGGGAGATGGAAATGAGAGAGGAATCCCTATAAGTGCATATTACAATAATACCAAAAGAAGGGAAAGATAGTACACAGTGTTCTAGCTATAGACCGATATCCTTACTAAATATAGACACTAAACTATATGCAAAAGTGTTAGCAAATAGGCTAAAGGATTTAATGCCGGAGTGGATCCATATGGATCAAGTGGGGTTTGTCTTTGGGAGAGAGGGTAGGGATAATGGATTAAGATCATTATTGCTTATACAAAAAAGTAAAAGAGAAAAAGTCCCTGTTTTGCTATTGTCGGTGGATGCTGAGAAAGCGTTTGATAGATTAGATTGGGGGTATATGTTGGATACATTGAAAGTTCTGGGAATGGGTCCTAGAATGAGAATATGGATAGGAAAATTGTATAGTCAACCAACGGGGGCAATAAAAGTAAATGGGGAAATATCAGAGAGCTTTAGGATGTACAGCGGGACCCGCCAGGGATGTCCATTGTCACCTTTGCTGTTTGTCCTGTCCTTAGAATCCCTCTTAGCAAAAATAAGGAAAATCACAGATATTAAGGGAATTTGGATAGGAGAGACAGAGCATAAAGTAGCGGCGTATGCCAACGATCTGTTGTTTTATGTAGGTAACCCAATGATAATATTACCCAATTTAATAAAAACACTAAAGGAATATGGGGAGCTGTCTAACCTAAAGATTAACCCAACTAAAACAGAAATCTTTAACATAAATCTTCCAAGAAGAGAGAAAAAGGCTTTACAAAAAGAGTTTCCTTTTTTGTGGAAGGAAAAAGAACTAAAATATTTGGGAATAAATTTAACCGTATCCTTAAAGAATTTATATAAAGCAAATTATATCCCATTATTAAATGAAATCAAAGATGATATGAGAAAACTCAGGACAGGTGGAATATCTTGGATAGGACGAATAAACCTAATTAAGATGGTAATTGTTCTAAAAATTTTATATAAATTCCAGATGATACCAATAAAGCTGCCAGGACTGTATTTTAGGATATTGAAAAAAATTATAACGTTTATATGGAGAAATAAAAAACCTAGAATAAGTTACGAAGTTCTAACTAGAGACAAAGAAAATGGTGGATTGGGTGTTCCTGATTTTAAAAGATATTATAATTCAGTATTGATAGCTCGAATTTTTGACTGGATACACAATGCACAGGGGAAAAGTTGGATAAGTATAGAAAACACATTAAGTAAAACACATTTGAGTAAGATAATATGGTTACCACCTCATTGTCGTGGAATGAAAGACAGCACAAGTATATTCACTAGAATTGTTTTGAAAGTGTGGGACACAATGCACAAACAGATGGGATGGGAATTTAACTCATTGTTGATGCCTATCGTAAACACAGATTTCTTCCCGCCGGGGAATGAAAAGGTTGCTGGGAGATGGATAAAAAAAGTAGATGCACAATTAAGAGATTTAATGAAAGGTGAGGAAATCTGTCCTCTAGCGGAAATGAAAAAGAATAAGGAGCTGTTCATTAAAGTAGATGAGTGGCGGCATTTACAAATGAAACATTTTGTAGAAAAACTCCCTAGGCCTTTAACCGCAAGCCTACAGGGCACTTATACCCCCTTCCTGCCCAGGCCAATTTCCAGCTTTCAGAGCTGTCGCACTTTGAATGACAATTGCGCTGTCAAACACTGTTCCCATATGAAATTTTTATCATTTTTTTGTGACAGAGCTTTATTTTGGTGGTATTTAATCAGCTCTGGGTTTTTTATTTTTTCTTAAACAAACCAAAAACCACAGAACATTTTGAAAAAAAAATGTTTTTTCTTAGTTTTTGTTATAAAATTTTGTAAATAAGTGATTTTTCTCCTTCACTGATGTGCGCTAATGAGGCTGCGCTGATGGGCACTGATAGGCTGCACTGATGGACACTGATAGGTGGCACTGATGAGGAGGCACTGGTAGAAGGCACTGGTAGGTGGCACTGATGGGCATTGACAGGCATCACTGATGGGCACTGAAAGGCATCACTGATACATGGCACTGGCATATGGCACTGATACACAGCACTGTTAGGCAGCACTGACTGGCACTGTTAGGCGGCGTTGACTGGCACTGTTAGGCGGCACTGACAGGCACTGATAGGCGTCACTGAGGTGCATTGATAGGCAGCACTGATAGGCGGCACTGACTGGCACTGATGGGTGGCACTGAAAGGCAGCTCAGATGGGCACTGATATGCGGCATTGATGAGCACTGGCAGGCACTGATATGTGGCACTGATGGGCACTGGCACGAGGCACTGATGAGCACTGACATAAGGCACTGATGGACACTGACAGGTGGCACTGCTGGGGCTACACTGATCATCAGGGCACACTGATCCTCAGTGCCCTGATGATCAGTGTACATGTCCTCTCCTCTTGAGCTCGAGAGGGGAGAAATGCTGATAACCGGCATTTCCCTGTTTACATGTGATCAGCTGTGATTGGACACAGCTGATCACATGACCGAGCCGACATCTTCGGCTCTTTCCGTGATTGGTGTCACTCGGACACAGCGCACCACCGATCGCCGTGCTGCGCGCTCCCTGAGCCACACATGCGCAGTGAGAATGGGAGGACGTCATATGACGTCCTTCCAGAACGAGAGAACCACCTTGCGCCCGTCATATTACTATATGACAGGCGGGAGGAGGTTAAGGAAGAAAGAAAATTGGAATCCATTTGAACTTTTGTTTAGTACACGGGGGGGGGGGAAGCATGGAACTTCGAAAATATATAAAATTTTTACTAAGTTAACAACAAACACGGTCCCCACATATATGGAGAGATGGGAAAGGGAATTAGGATTAAGGATAGAGGAAGAGAAACAATAAAAGATTTATACGTTAGCACACGGTAATATAAGTATGAAGGCTGTAGAGATGAATTATAAATGTTTAGCAAGGTGGTATATGACACCAAATGTAGTACACAAACAAAATAGGGATAAATCACCATTATGTTGAAGGGGATGTGGAAGTGGGGAACAGGGCACAGTAGGTCACATTTGGTGGGAGTGTTGTGAGATGGGGAAACAGCTCTCATTGTTTGAACACTGTTTGTGTGGAAGTAAATTAATGTTTTGACTGACATTCTGCGGTTTAGCCACAAGATGTCACTGTTTTTCTAGCACAGCCTCAGACTGCATAGATATTTGTATATTCATGAAGAGGTGGGGTTTTGCACACAGAGTTGGAGAGAACAGGAAGGAGAGGGAGAAGCCATGTTTTGGAGCATGGTGAATAAGGGGCTGTGTGAGCTGAGAATCTGATGACATCCAGGTGTGAAAACGTCCCTCAGTAACCAAAGCTGCAGCTGAGTGAAGCTGATGAGATTGCTGCCAGGAATGCTGATGAGATTGCTGCCAGGAATGCTGATGAGATTGCTGCCAGGAAGGCTGATGAGAGCAGAGGAGTTCCTATATTCGTATACGTTCCTATATACATATACGGCGAGACCGCATTCTTGTTGGAGAGACATTTGTTCTGTTCAGAGTCACCAGCGGATGAAAAGCAGACCCGGGTTGGTAAGATCGTGCACGCTCCTCATTTCAGTGTTGGCGCCTTGAGAATGAGTCCAGGCCTATAGTTAGTTAGTTAGGGTCTCTGTTTGTGTCAGGCCACAAGTGTTACTGATCATTGGAAAGACTCCACAACTTAAAGTGACATTTCACATTGGAGAGCTGATAAAATCCTACAAACTCAAGCCAGACCGACGTTTTGCTCAGAAGGAATACTCAGGCACATGCTACAGGACCAGTTATGGGAGGGGGAATACTGTAGGTTTGGGTAATATTGTAAGCTGTTGTGCTGCACCGCAGGCTAGCCCATACCATACACCCATACACTGATTCCTGCTATTTTAGGGTAATAACAGGTAAGGTGTGGCAGCTTAGTTGTGCCCGCCAGTAGGTAATTTACTACACCTTCTACCTTCATCCATCAGAAGGCGCCGTGCTGTGCAGCACAAGGGTCTCAGCCTTTGGGCTGGGTCTATGTAAATTTATTGTATTTTTCCAGCATTTGTGGTTGTGTTTATTTGCCACATCTAAGTAAAATTCTGTTGTGCCAAAGCTGGTGTTGAGGTTGCTTTCCTCGTTTGTGACTTCACTGTATCCTGGGGAGCCCAGCCCGGTACACAGCTTACAGTGTTATAAGATCCAAAAATATTGGGAAGAAATAATCCACCAGATACAGGAAATAACTGGGATAAAAATACCAAAAGAACCAGGGTTATGTCTTTTACATGGAACAGAGCTAACGGTTGAAAAATATAAAAATTCTGGGTTACTGCAATATATTAATGCAGCAAAAAGTTTGATTCCTAAATTTTGGAGGGAACAAAAAATACCAAAAACAACGGATTGGATAAGAATGGTAGATCAGATATATAGAATGGAGGAACTATACCACACTGATGAGGATAAAATGGAGTGGTTTCATGAAAAATGGAAAAAAATGGGAGGAGTTTAAGAAGGTTAAATTAATTGAAAGCATTTAGGAAACAGGAATGGAAGAAAACCCTAGGACTATAAAAGAGAGGGGAACGATGCTGAGTGGGGGGGGGGGGGTGAGGGTGGTAGAGAGGGGGGGTGTGGGGGGAGGGAAGGGGAGGTAAGGATTGGGATAGGGTGGTGGGTAGGGGGGAGTTTTTGTATTTTTGTATTTGGGTGAGGTGATTGTAGCAGTATTAGTGCATTTGCGACAGAAACAGTACTGTCCAAGATACTTTTTTTATTTGCACTAACAAACAATTTTGAGGACAAGCTTTCGGGGTATGTCTCCTTCTTCAAGGTCCAAGAAGTACTATTACAATGTTTTAGTAGAATGTTAGAAGAGATGTGGGAGATGAGAAAAAAAAAAAATAGCAGAAAGAAACACAAGCCTAGGGTTAAACTAGAGATAAGGCAAAGCAAAAGCAAAGACTGGGGGGGGGGGGAGACAACAATCACAGAGGCAGTCATGCTAGAGGTGATAAAACTGTTGGATAATGAGTGCGGAATCCCATGTCCAAATTCAGGCCGTTATCTCTTGTGTCAAATAGAATTATCATTCTTAGTTCAAAAGTTTTTCTTTCCTGAATGGATTTGAAATTTCCCCAATGCAGCTCGCAATCTGAAACTGTCAATATAGGTGTCCAGTTTGGGGTTGCATCCTTGTGGAGGTGTGAAGCAGCTGTTGTTTTTCTTTGTGTAGCACTCCAATGTCCTAGGATTCCTTTCATTACTGTGGAAATATTCTTTGAGCCTTAGTCTCCTGAAGAAATCCTCCATATCTGACAATAATTGTAAATGATCCAATTTGGTGGTTCGGGCACAGTATACATCAGGGATGATACACTTCACACCTCAATATACAGGAAACCCACTGACAGATGCAACTACCTCCACAGTTCTAGCTTCCACCCCCAACACACGAAATGTGCCATCATACACATTCAGGCCATTAGATGCCACCGAATGTGTTCTGACACAAGAGACAGAGATAAATATCTTGGGACACTAGCAGACGCCTTCCATAAGAAAGGTTACAAGGACAAAACTATCAATAACAGCATAAACACAGACTTGAGAACCCGAAGGGAAAATCTACTTCAGTACAAAGAGAAAAAAAACAAACAACCGTGTACCTTTAGTAACCACATACAACCCAGCACTAGAAGGAATAAGAAAAATAATCAAGGATTTACAACGCATCATAAGAGAGGATGGAACTCTGAAAGAAATATTCCAGCAACCCCCAATACTGGCTTTCAGACAACCCCCCAACCTCAGAAATAAACTAATCAGTAGGAAACTTCCTTCTGATTATGAGGTCACAAATAATGGAAGCAAACCCTGCAATAAAAAACGCTGCAAACTGTGCAACCAAATCAATCCATCTAAAAGTGTCAGACACTCAAAAAGGATCTTTAATATCTCCGGATCATACAGCTGCACCTCCAGTAATGTTGTGTACCTTATCCAGTGCAGAAAATGTGGCAAAGGATCTTATGTTGGCGAAACAGGACAGAAGTTGCAAACAAGGATGAATTTGCACAGACATACCATCAAGAAACATAAAGAAGATGACTTTTGCACACCTGTGGGACACCATTTCGCACAACCAGACAACATTTTGGGAGACCTCAAATATTTTAGTTCTTAAAGGAAATTTTAAATCCATTCAGGAAAGAAAAACTTTTGAACTAAGAATGATAATTCTATTTGACACAAGAGATAAGGGCCTAAATTTGGACATGGGATTCCTCACTCATTATCCAACAGTTTTAGCACCTCAAGCATGACTGCCTCTGTGATTGTTGTCTCCCCCCAGTCTTTGCTTTTGCTTTGCTGTGTCTTATCTCTAGTTTAACCCTAGGCTTGTGTTTCTTTCTGCTTTTTTTTTCTCATCTCCCACATCTCTTCTAACATTCTGCTAACATTGTAATAGTACTGCTTGGACCTTGAAGAAGGGGACATACCCGAAAGCTTGTCCTCAAAATTGTTTGTTAGTGCAAATAAAAAAAGTATCACGGACAATACTCAATTGTTTCTGTATTTGGGTGAAAATAGTCGAATAACAGATGTTGTTTTTATTGATGGAATAGATGAAATGTAAAAACTTAATAAAATATTAATTAAAAAAAAACAACTAGTCATACATTTCAGAAGCTGAGAATTGTAATCCAAAGCCCATTAAAGTCAATACGGAAGGGGGTGGAGTGATGGTTGGCAATCCTAAAAGTCATTTATGGTTATTTTTAAGCATAATAGTTCAAGGGCATGTCACACAAAGGAAATGTGGGGGCTAGATTCTGTCTCAGGGGCAATGTAACCATTCAAAAATTAAAGTTTAAAAAAGTACCATTTAGCAAGGAGACTTTTTACTGTATATGACTTCAATAGCAACATTGGAAAGGATCAGTGCTTTTATTGACATGCTTTGAAGATGCTCAAGGGCAGCATCAGCAACACAGCATGCTGGTTCAGTCAAGGTTCAGTCTGAATGCCATGTATATAAAATAATGGAGGTGCTTAACATCCAATGACATCATAGGCCCAATTAGTTATCAGTACACAACTGCTATAATTGATTTTCACAGTGGGGTTCTTATTTCAAACATACCGCAGAAGGGTTAATTTATTGATATTAGCACATTTACTGGGTTTCAGTGGGAGACAGCAGGCAAGTTTTACTCAAGAAATCCAAGTTAAAGTGTATTATTAAAAATACAAACATTACAAAAATTGTATAAGCAGTTTAAGTAGGCTGCAGTTTAACCAGTTGCCTACCAGCCACAGTACATTTACTGCGGCAGGGCGGCACCGCTGCTCAAAAATCACATATATATATACACGTCATTTTGCATATCGGGTAGGGGGCGCACGCGAGGTGAGCGACCACCCTATCTACGCCGCCGATCGCAGCCGCGGGTGTCAATCACCGGGTCTCGGCCTGTGATTACCCGCTGGAGCCCGGC